GTACAGTTTCACCAAATTGCCTTAAAGGCACCGTCCACCTTAAGTTGAGGGTGCTGAGATTTTGGCAGCATATAATAGTGGGGCCCTCTATCAATCCAATGCCCAAGTCGCGGCGCAAAACGTCGCTTTGGAAGCGAGAAAATCGCTTTGGAATATCGAAGATGCACGAGGACCCCCATCCATGCCCGCCCTCCCCCTCCATGCCCGCCCTCCCCATCCATGCCCTCCCATTTGTGCGCGCCCATCATCACCGTTCTGGAAAGCCGGCCTGTGGGTTCTCCGGAACGGGGATTGTCGAGGTTTTCGCGGATTCTCGGCTTCATATTTGGAGTCAGGGGCATGAGAAGGCCCTGGAACGACAAGAACCTGGAAGACGAGAATCTGGGTGGACGGTGCCTTTAAAAGGGACCACTTACAGGATAAGCATCTCGCGGCACGACAACGATCAGCGTAGCAAAATGCTTTCAAAAATTGGTTTTTACAATAGCCATATCAGAAATACTAGATTATGAGCGTGCTTTTCACAAATGCTATGTTTACACGCTGAGATGCTGTTTGCATATTCGATGGACTTGGGAGAATATGTAACCATATCCAAGTCTTTGAAACTTTTGTGCTTTGTTATCGAAAATGTAGCCAGAACCAGAAATTTGATGTATATTTCTAGAGCAACATAATCAAAATGTGTTATTTTCCAGAATGCTTTGATATCGTTGGCACCGAATTTGATAGGTTGTTCCATTTTCGTCTCTCATCTTTTGTGGGTGTATGTCAAGAGGCGCTTCTTTTCCAGATGTACACCAGTTAGCGCTTTTTTAGTGTTTAAAAACATTCTAAAAGACTTCTAAATTTCTGAAGAGATATGCAAGATCGTTGTCAGGGCTGCTTAACCTCATTTCTTGAAATAACATGAATGTCGAAAGTTAAAACCCGCGAAAATGCAACTAATCGCAGTTTTGCAAATACCTCAATCAATTTCTCATTGAAAGCCATCAAACTTAGCAAGTGATAACTCAGACAATCAATAAGCTAGAGCACGTCTAGTATTTTAAAGACTCGCACAGCTCGAAATTGGGGAAAAAAATCATGCACTTTGTGTTGATACTACGGTGTTTTCCTTCAGTCTCCGACTGAAATGAAAATAGAAGATGAAGACTCCTTGGTTTTAAACTTGCTGTAGAATCAAAACTATCAGTAATACAGGTTTTGTTATTACTTATGAGTAAAGCAGTTTGGTTGGTTGAACTTTTCTATAGTCGTCCTCACCCCACTAGTCGGTCGGTGGTCGAATTCAAATTCGATTCTTTGTGTTTCTTTGCTGTCTCTCGTACTGCGGCAATGTTCTTGATCATATTTTTGGTTTTCATACAGCTAACTATTGTTTTGTGCAATTGTACTTGTTTGTTTTACATTTTTTCAGGTAAACCGGGAAGAATAGAGATTTTTGGATGAGAAATATCTTTTCCGGTAAGTGAAACAGTCACAAATGTGATTTGATAAGTTTGTGATGATTGTGTCAAGTTTTTCGTTAGAATTCTAGACTATTTTTTGCGACAGGGCTGAAATCCTCTCAAAAAGTGTTTGTTTTAAAGAGTTAGCGGTACGAAATCTAAAAATCTGATTAAGAACATTGCCGTAATACGAGAGATAGCAAAGAAACACGAAGAATATAAGAAAAAATCTCATGCAAGCGGTTGGCTGAGGGGCGGTTTGCCGCGCTCTGCCGCGGCCGGCCTGCCCCAGTTCAAATTCAAATTCGACCACCGACCGACTAGTGGGATGAGGACGACTATATCAGAAGCTGCAGTTCCCAAGAATGATGAACAATTGTTGTGTCGTATTCCATCGTAAGCTCGGAAATCGCAGCTCTATTGGAAACCTTTGACTGTCGCATAGTACCTTTCACAGCAAAAAAAATTTAGATGATCAAACCTATCACATTATCTATATTTTCGGATTGTGTAAATATCCTCTGAGGATCTGCCTCGAATTGATCGAAGCTTGACTAGTAGTTTTCTTCAATTTTTCTCAGTTGGGATTCCTGTAGAGATGCCGTAAAGCATGATTTTCGCTACATAAGAAAGATAGTGCAGAACAAATTTGTTGGCATAGAAAAACAATAAAAGTTGTGAAGGAGCAATAGAACTGTCGGAACAACCTGACATCACATCATTTGCGGAAAGTGCATTTGTAGCGCGTCTAGCTTACGTAGGACACTATTTTATCTCATTTGAGAATGACGTTCAGGCTCTGATTAAGAAAGAGTAATGATCTACAACAAATTAAATTGCTACAAAGCAGCCCAGTTCCGAGCATCCGTAAAGAGAATTTTTGAAAAAAAAATTGTCTAGAAATGTCCGCATTCGCATTGCTAGCTTACTGATCGGTGCAAGCAGTTGGAACACGTATGTTTAACACCTAGAACAAACGATCTTCCAAACAATTTCCTGATGATCTATTTTTCATTTCCTTTGATCGCACAAATGCGAACTGAGTGCTTTTCGTCAAATACATGTAATGTGACGCTTATTTGTAAATTCATCAACCTATTCCTAGTTAACCTTTTACTGTATAGAAAAGATTTATTTGGAATGCTTAATGTTATTTTGTGATCTTAATCTATTAAGCTAGCTTGAGTCAAGGGTTAGAATTCGCTCTGTCTCCGAGGGTAAGATACAATTAAGGAAGGAACACGAAAATACATGAGTCGCTGAGCATTTACTGGGGCAATCTGCCGAGCAGTCTCCGAAATCGTCAAAACCCTTTCTCCACCTTAGTAGACGCTGAAAGTGGGAAGAATTGACGGGCGAAAATCTGCAGTATTCAAAGGCAAAGTCTATTCAAAATTTTGCTTTTCATGTTTTCCCCATTCCGGGGCCTTTCCGTGGCCAAAGTTTAAACGGTCCGAAACCCTTCGGAAAATCCGATTCCTGAGGACCCTGTCTTTAGGGCGAGGGCGGCTTTCAGTACGTGAGTGGGCGGAGTCTGATAGGATCTGGGCAAGGCCTGACAGCACTTCGACTGTTCCAGGCCCTTTATCTCCATTCAAAGACAACATTAGTGGACCGGACCAACGCAGATGCCCCTTTCGTGGGCCTACATCCAGAATCGACCCTGATCGGAGGGAGCTAGATTTAGACTGAATACTGCCTTTAAGCACAACCTCTAATCTGTCTCAGTTCATCTACCATTGAATCTGCGTCAACTGGGACACCATTATCAAATTAGCTATTAAAAATACATTTCCAGGGTGTCCCAAAAAAATGTTTAGAACGTTTGATCGTTAATATCTCTCTTCCCAAGAAGGCTTTTGCCTTGCTTCAGGTACCGTTTTGTAGAGCTGGCTCAACTTAGATTTCCATTATAGAACGGATCACCCATCTCTCTTCATTAATGTAAGGTTACGGTAGAAACTTTAAAGAGGGTTTTGAACCATGAAAGGCCATATTTTGCCTCAGAAAGGAAACAAAACAGCCTAAAAGCTTTTACACCAGGCTAATTAGAATTGCTGATTATAACTGTAAAGTTCCCAACTTATTCTGATGCTTCATTGAAGAGTTATGCCAGGTGAGAGGTAGCGGCCTTTTTTTCAATGTTCCTAAAAAGTGCGATTACACCGTTTAGAAAGCTTCATAATCTTGTGAATAGTTGAGTATTGAACTCAGCGTCTATAAAAACCCTATTACATCCTGTCACAATTTTTTGAAAAATTTTGAAACGGCAGCTTTTTCCACATTGACACCATATGTTTCAAGTTTATACCGTAATCCTACAGTAATGAAGAGAGGTGGGTGATTCGTTCTATAATGCAAATCTAAGTTGAATCCAGCTCTACAAAACGGTACCTGGAGCAAGGCAAAAGACTTCTTGGGAAGAGAGATATTAACGATCAAACGTTCTAAGCATTTTTTGGACATCCTGTATATACCTATCTTTCTATGGGATTAGTATGTCCAAATAGACGGTCTTGAAGAAAACGAGAATTTTCTGAATTTTCCCTTCTCTCCTGCTTGCCTTTTCACATGGCATGTTGTATTTATAACAGCCATAAACTCGTAATCCAGCGAGATTTATTCAAAAAGTTGATCTTGAAGAAAATTATAACATTTTAAATCAAGGAAACCGCAAAAACGGAAGAAATTTCAAAACAACCCAATTTAGACCCTAAACGTTATCTTTGTCTACTCGTCATTCAAAAGCCAATGTCAATCAAACGCTATGATAGACACTGCTTCCGATAAAGCGACACAAAAAACAGGTGACAAATTCTAAGTACTTGGGATTTCTTCAAGATATGGATCCAATTAACCTGATTTTAATGAAGTTTATTTCTTATCCTTTTGTGCCTCTTTTGCCGTCAAAAATGATTCTAACAGAAAAAATTCCATTCAAAAAACAACTAAAAAGTTGTGTACCTTGGAATGGCGTAGTCAGAAAGCTAAGTACGATAAGCCTAACATTTGATCAAACAAAACACAATACCATTTACATTGTTTTATTATAAGCAATAACTCAATGAAGAATAGAATAGTATACATATTCGTATGTCAGTGTGAGTCCATGGAATTTTGCAGAATAGTCATTATTCCCAAGCATTATTGTATTTGAAACGATTTTCATTGACGAAACGATTGTTGTAAGGATTGTAAGAAGAGTTGGAAATCGGAGTCTTCCTTTCAGATCCACTTTCAGATTCGACAAAAGACGTTTTCATAAACATCAAGAACATAAACAGAGGTGAAATGACCACGTTGACGAGTATAAGCACCCAAGATACGACGAATTGTTTCTATAAAATAATGGCTAGTACTCGCAAAAGAAAAATCTCAAAAACCCACATTGATATTGTTTTTGAGACACTTTATATCCAGTTTAGCAGCAATAGCAATTAACATCGCTACTGATTCTATGATTGCCAAAACTACAGTTGAAGCTATCATTCTAAAAAAAATTTAAGAAGCTGATTTGGATAATACAAAGAAAAGGGTGGAAACACTCACATAGTTAGAATTTTCTTGACTTTTTCGTAATCCTTCGAGAACATTAATGCCATTCCTGCACATCCCGAAAAAAGTGAGATAGCTAGGAAGCTTATGGTTCCGAAAACTGAAAACACGAAAAGCTTAAGACCATTATATTTTGAATATAATGGCAACTTCTTGATCAGCAGAATAAGTAACAACTCATATCGGACAACTCCCATAATTTTTGAAGCCAGCAGACAATTTTCAATTGAAAGGTTTGCTTTAAGCAACTTTTGCGTCTTCTTTCGATTTCTGTCAGGGCTGTATAATTAGATTGTATTTTTGCCTTTTTTTAAATCTGCGATCATGACATGCAGTCGAACTGTTGAACTGAACAGATTCTGTGGAAATTCTCATGAAATATTAGGTAGGCTCTATAAGTAAATTCCTTTTTTGACTAATTCAAGCAGTTTTTGCTTTCCTAGTAGACTTAGGGTATCATTCGGTAGAGCAGATCAAGCTCTACAAAAAGACCCCAAGGGCCCGCCTAAGCCGCATACCATGTAAAGTATGAAGCCAAAATCGAAAAAAATTTTGTCACCTAAAAATTGGATTTTTGGAAGAAAGAACCCTACGGACCTCCAACTTGGTCACTATACATAGTAGTAATCAAATAAGCCTTTATTGGATTTTTTCTTTGCATGAAAAGCGAAAAATTAAAGATAGTCCAAAAATGGCAAACTCCGTTCCCAGGCCCCCCCCCCCACATATGTCGTTGTGCACTGCAAGCCTTGCTTATTATCTCAAAATTTTACTTCTGTACGTGCTGTTATCATCTAAAATTACCAAGTTTTACATGAAAAACCCGAGAAAAAAACGGTATTTTGGCATTTTCGGACCACCTTTATTTTTCAATTTTAAACACATGAAAAATTCCACCAAACACATTTTTGGGAACTACTATGTGTCCACTATATATAGACCAAGTAAGAACTCCGTAGGAATTTTCTTGAAGGAAATACGATTTTTGGGGGAGCTGAAAATTTCTGATTCTTGGCCCCAAATTTTGCCTGATTACGACTTAGTGTATTCTTGGTGTTTTTATTGTTGGGCTTGCTCCGCTGTATCGAATGATACCCTAACCTGTTGAGAAAAGAAAAACAGCTCAATTAATTTGAATGGAGTTTTTTTACTTTTGGGATAATCGATCAATCGATACGTAGTGCGTCTGCATAGGTTCCGGCACTGCTTCGGAACAGCTTGAACACAGCCCCGGAACAGCGCTAAAACGCCTTTGCAACGACAGCGACGGCACACGTACAACTCTGGACGCTGCTTCATTTGAGTCATTCGCTGTGACCACAGTGAATGACTAAAACCGTCTGACTCATTGCTGAAAGTAACAAATTGTTCTCAGTCGTTACAACTTAATTATTTCCTTGAGCCTTGGCTTTTGTTGGGAAACTTGGCCCCCATATGAAGAGCGAATAACAGTAGTTTCTTTCTACGCATACAAACACTATGGGAGATAAGACATGACATCTCACGTCACCAGCACGGAGGTTTGAAATTTTCTGACTCATTGCTGAAAGATGGCGGCTGGCATTCAGTAAAGGTCCTTGTATAAAAAGGAAAATAAGTCTTTTGAAAAATGTTGGAAAACCCAAATTTGTGTCGAAGTTATCCTACTTTGGGCTATCTCTACCACAACAGCATCCTTTACTACTTGACACTCAATTGGTCATTGAAATAACTGGACATTCTTGGGAATAGCTTCCATGCGCGGTTTGTGGTCGCTATTCTCTTGCTTTCGCAGCGAGTTTAGTTGCCCACGCGTTAGGCGGTCGACGTTTACGGCTATCAACTTGTGTGTTCACTTTAGGATTTGAGCTATTCATGTCGAATACATTTCCAAAAAATTATGATGGATTTTGAAGGATTTTTGATTTTGACCAACATTTTGCATGTTGTCTTACATTCTGTGCAGTTCACTATTTTTTAAGGTTTGGAAAAGTTTTCTTGACCTGGAACAGCGGTTCGAGGAGATCGAAGACTCTTCAGCTATCTTCCTAAAGGGGGGGGGGTAGATGCCTTCCGTTGGCAGCGGCAGGTATCATGTCTACATCCATTAATGGGGTTTTCCCAGCTCGGCGGCCGGTTAAGTTACTCAACTTTTTTTGCGTTTCAAAACAACAATGGCCGTATTCATCAACGAACCCTTGTATTCCGGAACCAATTGGGTAAGCTTACCCAAAAAATCCGTATTTACGAAGCTAGTGGGTTAATGAACCCAGCAGGGCTTTTTAGTGAATATCGATCCAATCTAGTGGCACTTTTTCGCTTACCCACTGGGTAGCGAAACCCAATGGGTTCGTTGATGAATACGGCCCAAGGATTGGATCACTTGTCCTTTCCTGATTTCCTTTCATTTTCCGTTTTGATGCACTTCTGTGTATTGAATGAACTAATTAATTAAGTACTTCTCTCGTTAGAGGAAGAAATGAAGAGATTACGGAAATGATAGATTATCCTTGTAGTTCAGACGATGAACTAGTATCTTTTTTAAACGTAATTTTGCGCGTCCTTGCTTCGACTAACATCTTGTAGAATAATTATCAACAAATGGGCTAAAAACAAAGTGTGGAATATATTATAAATTTGTTCCTATAGAGTTTTACCTTAAATATCTAGAGCTTTATCTAAAGTCTTTTATCTAAAGCTTTTCGAGGCTATTTATGGCCTAATGTAGGTTCATGATAGTCGCCATCATTCCTGCGACTCATCGAAAATGTGCATGTTTGGTGAGTAATATTTTCAACAAAGCGCGTGGTGTGTTAGCCGCCTTCACTTAAGGCTAAATTCTTCTTGAAGGACCAAAATTTTGCAATCCTTCTTCTTGTAATGAAATATTTCGAGATGCTTCAGGTACCATTTTGTAGAACGAGGTCAAACTTAGATTTACAGTGCGGAACGAATCATCGATCGCTCTTCATTATGTAGGATTACGTTAAGAACTCCAGCATATGGAACCATGGTGAATTATTATATTATATATCACCTAACAAAACTTTTTCCAAAAAATCTGAAAAATCGTGTGCTAGGGTTTTCGCGCACGCTGATTCCACCACACAATTTTTACAAGGTTTTTAGCATTTTTGACGGTGTAATCACATTTTTGTCAATTGCTGGGAAATCAGTTATTGCGGTTTACATGGGAGTTAGAAAAGAAGCATCACAGGAAAATGGGAATTTCAATTTCAAAATCAGCGGCTCTCATTACCGTGGTATAGGAGCTTTTAGCTTGTTTGGCTTTTTCCGAGGCAGAAGACAGCCTCTAATGGCCTAAAATCCTTGTCGAACCGTACCGTAATCCTACAGTAATGAAGGGCGATTGACGACTTGCTCCATACTGTAAATATGAGTTCAACCTCGCTTTACAAAATGGACTTGAAAATGAAAATGGACAAGGATTTTAGGCCATTAGAGGCTGTCTTCTGCCTAATGCTTCTCGAAACACTTCATTACAAGAGAGTTGTTTTCAATCAAACAGTAGTTACATTTTTTGAGACACTCTGGATATTTCTACTTGATTTGCGTAAGCAAAATTGCTTGATCTAACTTTACTGAAGGAAGAGAGCTTCTTGAGATCGAAAATTTAAAAATTTACATGAAACTGAAAGTATTGAAGATTGGTATTTCCACGCTAGATTAAAGGTTAGTGATTTGATTACCATGTTAGTTAAGAGTACATTACCTTGAACTTACATGAGAGCGCCGTCATAAAGGAGCCGCTTCCCACACATTTATCCTTAAGCTTGTCATCCTTTAAGTCCGTGATCCAAACTATACTATTGTATAAATGCATTGCAAATAACACAGTCGAGAAAACTCCGAAGGCTACCGCTATAGAGAAAGAAAGGGTTAACGTATTCATAATGGGGGTCCTGAAATTTTTGAGAGTTTATTTTAAAACAACCAAAACACACCAACAGGATGTTTTATGTATAGTAAGTTTTGAAAGAGATGTAAACGTTGAATAGCTGAAGGCATGTGTAGTGAAATCCAAAATACAAAAATTCAACAATACATATACTTTATAAAGAGCTGGCGTATGTGAGTAAACTAGCGATAGGGCTCCGAAAGTATTACATATCAATAACATTCTTTTAGCACATACATTGCCTTATCAATAGATAAATACCGGCGTTCTTTTTGCAGTATGAATCGATAGTGCGGCGCTTTCAGGTATGGCTAAAGGGTCATCTTAGTCAAAAATTCAAAGTATTTTTGACATTAAAAATCGTTTCAAGTCGTATTTTTACCTATTTAACCTTGGCATTTCCGCAGCTATTTAAGATAAAGCAAAATGCTCCACTCTGACGCACAAAGACTGTTAGGGACGTATTGGCATTGGGAATAACAAGGTAAAAAATAAAATGTTCTTTTCTCTTTCAGAACACATTCTCAAGGATTGGAATATCTTCTCTTTTTTTGGAATCTTTTGTAAATTCCATATTTTCAAGTGAATTAAGTGTTCTTTGTAGGCTATGGTAGAGATAAGGCAATCAGCGCTCCAGGAATTTGGTAGCAGTAGTCTGAGAGTGTGAAGCAGTTCTGTTAAAATTTGCCAGATGGAAATTTTTTGACACTGTCAAAGCAGTAAAATGAAACTAGCAACAAGCCACAAACTGAACAATATCAAGGTGTTCATAAGACCCAACCACAGAAAACCAGCAAGTGTGGATATTTACAATCATAGTGTTTTCTCAGAAGACTTGATGATTCTGCTACGAAACTCATAGAAGAAAAATTTGAAAATAAACACGATTAGTTGATTATTATCACAAACATGTTTGTACAGGGAATCTGAATATACAGGACGAAAAGCTGAGGAATCTTTTCAAATTAAGAATTATATTGAACTTATGGGTGATTACCAAAGGTAAATTTCTTGAGGATATATAGGTCTTATCAAAGGCAGTGTCGCTTGCAACAGCATCTCCACTTCCGCGCTGGACTCTGCGTCTCTTCCGCGAACATGCTCTCTGATCACTTTCCCAGGGCGAGCGTGGGAAAGGCGGAGCCTCAATCAATTGGAAGTGATTAGAGGGCGTACTCGCGGAGGAGATGCAGGGTCCAGCGCGGAAGTGGAGATGCCGAGGCAAGCGACACTGCGTTTGATAAGCCCTATAGATGACCTGTGTCTGCAGTTAGCATTTGAGTGTATTCAGTACGAAGGTGACCACACCATCATAGTTCAACTTGCGTGTGAGCTGAGTAAGCACATCGTTGCAGTCTCGAATGCAGTAAACCCTAGCTAGAATTAGCGAGAAAAGAATGGAGCAGTCAGCAACGAATGGGTGCACTCAAGTGTTTACTAGACTGAGAGAAATGATGTTTAAAACATCGAAGAGTTCCGAAAAGCTTAAACAGTAAGTTCGACGAATGTTACGTAGTGCTAGAATATATAGCATCTCAAAAATGCGTGAAACTGAAAGCAAGTTCAGATTCATTACTAGCGTCGAATGGAATACGTTGAAGCCTTTGCCTAGATACTACAATTAGTACTTGCCCACATAAACATTTTCAGAATCACTGCAAAACTATTTGGCAAAGAACAATATAAGAGGGCTTTCTTTTCGGGCAATGAATAGTTAGCCAAGTGCGAAAACAAAAAACTGCTGATGGTAGCTTCGGGATTATTCGGCTTATTTCTCTAGCCTTTCCAAAAACTGATATTGTAAGAAATGTTCTCAGAAAACTTATGTGCATATGCATGAAAGGTTATAAATACATCAGCATACATGGCAGTCGAGTGACATATGCTAGCACAGACACAACATAAGGCAACTATTATCAAATCAAAGGCCTAACATAAAATAATCTGATCTTTTGCTAGAAACAGCTACTTATTCTTGGTCTTGTGATTCATAGACAGATAAAAGATATGAATTATGGGGCTTAGCAGTCATCAGATAACTAACATTATCTTGCTTGGAATACAACTTTATGAAGAGGGTGACAAGAAAACCAAATCATGACAGCTTACATACCTCAGCTTTAGAGATTAACAAAGCCAAAATAAGTTTCGACGTAACAAATGTCTTTGACTTGTACGTGAATGTTTGTGGAAACAAGTTTAAATTCAGCATGTGCAACTGTGGACGCTATAATCTCAGTGTAAAACGGACCTTACAATCTTGAAGTCCCTTGGTATCGACAGTAGGGATCTAGTATATCAAGATATATATATAGTATGTATATAATGGATACCTGCGCCTTACAAAATTAGAATAAATAAGAATTGTATTCTGCGTGCGGTTTGATAAAAGATTTATTGGACTTGGTAAGATTTTGTGATGCCGATAGCGCGCACTGAGGTCACGGTGCGAGAACATTCATTCGAATGTGAGATTGCATTTATCGCTACGTCACTCGTCTTTCCAAATCAATCCATTTTCCTTTCGCACTTGTATCTTTTCCTTTTGGAAAATTACTTTTAGATTTGAGTCTTTTGCTAAATTGCTTCGCTTTGATTTTCAGGCAGGACTCGGCACGAGCTGGCACCAGGGAAGTTTCAAAACGAAGTCCCGTTTGATATTGAAAATTTCGTACGAAGTCCCTTTTGACCTGTTTCAAAACCGGTCATCATTTTACATTATGTAAAAAAATGTAGTAGTGTTTTCATGCATTTCTGATTTCATGAAAGAAGTTTTCACAGCTTTCTGAGCCTTTTAAGTGGTCGAAGCACATCTTGAGAAGCAGAAAAAGCCGATTTTTCAACTGCGGAGCGGACCGAGTGGTTTTCAACTTGCTATAAAACGCTGAAAAGAGAACATTATGAAACTGTTTCTTCTCCGTATGTAATCTTCTACAGTGTAGATACATTTTATGTAAAAAAATGTATGAAAACTTATGTGAGCAAAGTGTCCGTGCCAGCTCAGCTGGCACCCAGCTGGCACGGTGCCAGCTAATTCAGAAAAAAGTTGGGCACAGTTTTCATTCACATAAGTTTTCATAATTTTTTGGCCCGTAGTTCCGGTCCACCAATGCGCATGCACACACCAAATTTGGTGTCATACTATTGCGTTTTGGCTGAAAACAACGCCTTTGTTTGTTGATGGACAGCTTGCCAATGGCATGCCGGTGGCATGCCGGCGGCATTTTTGCGGCAGTTCTCCGTCTCGGCCCCTGTAGAAACGATATCCCCTTTGCTTTCCGCCCTAAAAACGATATCCAGCTTGACCCGGTGCCAGCTGTGCTGAGCCCTGTTTTCAGGATTCCTTGAGATCTAGCGACGAGGAGCGTCAACGAAAGCGCACTACCGATATAGTTCTGAGACTCAAAACAGTGATGATTCAGAGAGCATGTACAAAAATTTTGGGAGGCTTTTGCAAATTTCTCATCTCCTGTATTCTCTGGCCCCGCCCATCCCATGGTGGTGAGATGAGCGGAGATGGAGATGAGCGCTGCTTCCGCGTTGAAATTTCGGGTGTTAGAAGTGGCAGAGAAAGATCGGACTTTGGCCAATAGGTTCCGTATGGGGGCTCCTACCCTGTGACCTTGTTTTGTCACGGGTCTCATTCTGCCGATGTTCTGCCTTCAAAGGCAGCGTCCTGGCAAAAAGATGGGTGCCGGGTTCTTGCGACGATGTAGAGTAGACCCCCTACCTAAACGATGACTGAAGTTCGAGCGAAAGAGGGGGTCTACCAAGCCAGAAATTTGCTCCGAAAGTGGCCCGAATCTTACGGTAAGCCCAAATGCCACCCACACCGCAATATCGATTTGCAAGGCCAGAGTGCGTATGGCGCACACAGTTATGAGCGCAGGGTCCCGCAATGACTCTGCGTTTCTACCCTGCATGCATTTCGTACTCGCCCGAGCCTACCGTAAGATTCGGACCACTTGGGGAGCGATTTGTAGACTTCGTAGACCCCCTTTCGCGCTGCAGACTTCTGTCGTCGCTTAGCTAGGGGGTCTACTATTACATTATCACCAGAGCCAGGTACCCCCAGTATGGTGGGACGCTGCCTTTGAGTATACTAAGCGTCCTTTGTTATACGATAGAGATGAAGCACTCAGCGCTGCAGCAGTCCGGTGGCACACTAACTATGCGATTCGACAAGTTCTGTCAAAGGGGTTTGCCTAATTAAAATCTTTGGCACCGTCGGAAAAGCAGTTATAAAAAAAATTCAGCTTTTAGCGTTAAAAGCATGCGATTCAATCTGCCATAATGGTCGACCGATAACTAACGTGACAACAAAGAGTATAAGTTATGAGAATAGAATTTCATTGACTTCCGGAAGATTTTTATAACAAGTCGTTGTTAAGAATGATAGGCTTTGAACATTGTTGTCTTAGGTTATTCTTTGTGTTGGTAACTGTTCTGTGTCCATTGTGAGCTTCAGTGATTTCTATGGCACGCGCCATACTTGATCCGCTCAATCCACTTGATCCGCGTGATCCGCTTCGCTATTGGTTCACTGAATTGACCAATGGCGAAGCGGATCAAGCGGATCAAATGGATCAAGCAGATCAAGTATGGCGGGTGTCTATCCAGGTGATTTCTATTCTGTTCATCAATGCCTTCTCAATAATATTGGCTCTAATGTGCATTGAATAATGGTTTGAAAAAGTATGAATTGCCTCAAGGAAGCTCTATTTTAGTATAATTCTGCTTTTCCGTAATGTTTTGAATAGACGAAATTGTACAACGAAGTGGCTCATGGTTGAAATGTGCACAGCTTATCGGTTTAATACTCCTCCAGCAAAGTACGAAGTGTTTGTTTCTAGCAGCGTGCGAAGAGTTGACTGACTGAACGATACTTATAGTCATACAACTAAAGTTATCAACGGCTAAACAACTCTACAAAATCGCTTTTTTCATAGAACAAGCAAAATTTCAATTAGGGTTTGCCGTTAGATGGTTACCTGCTGCAGCTTTTTTGTGAGTTCTTTC